TCTTAAAAAAAAAAAAAAAAAAAAAGGACATTAAGCTGTACTGAAAGAGACTCGAGCAAAGAATTAAAAAAGTGAAACAATTGAAACTTTGGCTTGCTTTCAAGCAATTTGTCGAAAATACGCGTATTGCTTTAGAAACGAGTTTGTAAAAATTAGACCGAGTCCAACGATTCAATTCTCGCGAATCGAAGCGACGGAGTATCAATCAAACTCACCTGAAAACGACGTCCCAGTCCAAAGCTCGTTCGCCGCTTCGTTTCTGAAGCGTTTCGGCTGCGTACTTGGCGCAGATCCTCTCGTAAACGCAAACGTTACTGCCCAGCTCCGATATCAGTTTCTTCTCCACTTGTCCAACGTCTAGTATCTCTTCGTCGTGCACCAGAGGCAGATCTCGTCTCACTCGGCTGACGTAAGTCTCTGAAAAACGAAGAGCGAAGAGTAAAACATTATGGTAAATATCAGAATGATGGACACGCCACTTTCGGAAGCTGTGAAATTGTCAAACACGTCTCTGTCGAACACGTTTCGTCGAAATCGAGAAAATAAAGATAAATTTCATCCCTCGTGTGTTATTCTCGCAATCAGTGTGTCTTCATGAATCAATGTATTTTCATTCGTCGGACGAGTTAATGCACTATGCGGATCTCGAGCAGAGAGTGTTATCGCCACTGTCATCAATCCAAGTGACAATCCTCGTTTCGATCATTCAGAATCGTCAAATAACTATCCCTAGCTAATGACCAATTAACAACGTGACTCCTTCAACGTTCACTTTAACGAAAATTGACACGTCCAAATAGGATTCCATCGGCGGCCGCGTGTTTGCCTGTCACTGCTGACTGCACGTCAAAATCCCCGTCGTTTCGATCGAATTATCGACACTGAAACCGATTTATTCGCGAGATTCGACGAATCTAGAAAAAGAAAAAAGAAAGAGAAAAAGAATCCGTCGCTCAGCCATTTCACGAATATGAAATAGATGCACAGCGATGCATGAAAGAAGCACGAATAAATGTTTGATGAATTTCGAGGTTGATATCGCAGTCAGAAAATTATGAAGCTCATTTTATCACGTCGAATAATAATTTTTGGAGATAATAATTTTTGGAGATCGAGGGAAATCCGATGGACTAACGATATTAAAAATCACTATTATTAAATTCCCTGGGTGGAAATTATCAGCATTAAAGCTGGCTATAAATTGGATATCAATAATATCGAATCTATTGAGATTAAAAATTTTCGGCCCCACCAAATTGAATATCAATAGTATCGAAGATACCGAATTGGAAAATTGCGATATCGGACCTTTGACATTATATAATAATGTCACGAATTTGCAATATTGAGGTGACAATTTTTACAAAAATTCGATCAATCGAATTTCGCAAAATTTACCCTGAAACAATTTTGTAATAATTATTAACAAGCAGAACAATTTGTTATCAAAGTGCAGTCGGTAATTAGCGACAGCGTGATGCTTGTCCAGCAAAACAACGGCGAGTTGAACGTTACGTGAACGTTACACGGTATTCCAACGGAGAAGTTGCAACAAGTGGAACACTTTCGCTTTCGCTATTCGTTCATTCGATTCACGCGCGGAACTACTAGGCTAGACGAATCACCTGCACGTCGAAAGTTTAATCACTTTTCGCATTGAACGTACTTAACTGGCCGCCGATTCAGTTCGAGAAACATTGAACTTGTTCTCACGAAGGTTTTCACTTCTACGAAAATGGTAAAAAATTCGCTTCCTCAATACCAACGGTAGCGTGTTGAACTGTTGCTGTTTAATTAGGCGATTTCGTTCCTGTTTACTTGTTTTTCAGATTTAAAAAGCAGATACCTCTCGTCAAGCTTGTATTTCTCGCAACTCTCTGTAACATCATGCGAATGCATAATTTGAACATAGTTTGAACCAATAACGATGAAGAATGGTAGATAATTTAAACTATTATTAGCTTCATAAATATAACAATCCACTTGATCTTATTTTAAAGTCTCTTTGACAGCTGCGAGTTCGTTTCTTTTCGAAAATGGTTTTTATCACATCATGTAACGAGAGGGGAAAGTGAGGATACTTCTTTCTCGAAAATTCAAACATGTCTGGAAACATTCAAAAATTGTTCTCGTAACTAGAATCACTGTCATTTTAAAAAATGAAGCCTTCGCTTTAAAACGAGTTGAAACTTGCCGCACGATCTTTTATCTTTTATTTTATTTAACGTTGAATATTAGGTGATATTAAAAATTTAAGAAATCATATAATTCTAATGTTCAAAGTTCAATGAAATGGTGGAAAGGAAATTTTGTGAAAAGGCAAGCTTTGAGAGGAGATTTCACTTTTCAAGATCACGGTGAATCTATGTTATGAAAAAAATTTTTTTACTGTTTCCAGAAAATTTCTTTTTGTTTGGTTCATTTACGTCACTGTAAACCACGAACTTTTGAAGACACGCAAACTCATACTTCTCGGAATATAATTGAAAAAGTGCCTAATGTTGTTTCATTTTATTGCACGGGGCATCGAGCAATTTATTTGCAGCGATGACTTTTCTTTATCTCAACAGATTTGAAGTGGCAATCACCTGGATTCAACGAGTACGCGAGCTTCTTCACGAAATTAGTGAGCCTGACAGCGATAGTGATCACGGGGAAGCCGATCAGCTGTACCGGAAGATGGAAGGCAGGTTCCTCTGGAGACGGTGCCGCGTTCGCCAATGTCATCACAAGGAAGCAACATCCCAGGATGAAAAACGCGCGTGTTATTTGCATTTCTGGACGCTGTTTAACAGATCGCGTTATTACTTTAATATCACGTCGCACTTTAATCTCTCTCAAAATAAAAAAAAAAAAAATGACAACACATCGACCTCCAATTTCAATCGTAGCTCAATTCTTTATACAAAATATCTTTCAAACGATTCAATGTTTAACAAACAATCAATAATCACAGAAAGCGTTCAATATTCCAATCTATCCGAATACTCTTCGTACGATTGTCACTGATTCAGATTTTTAATTATTATCAATGCTCACTCCGTCAACAATCTTCTTTGATATAGTGACTAACTAATCTAATAATTTAAATTTAAAAAATTCTCTATTCAAGCATCTTTCAAGAATGATTTAACATTCCATTGACCAGAGACAACATTTAAAATCTCAGCGTATTTCAAATTCATTCCATTCGCAGATCCATTCATTTTGATCCATCCTCTTCATTCGCTCACTCTCTGTTCATTCTTCAATGACTAGAAGGAACATCCGAAACTCTAACCATTCGTGCAACTATCTACAATTTTCTCTGTATAATCTCAATTCCACCTCGGCACATTTCATCAACTATCTCAATTCTCACTTCGTTCACAATTCAACTCGTCGTCCTCTTCGTTCTATTCGCTCTTCAATGACCAGAAGGAACATCCAAAACTATCCAAAAGTTTCTCTCTGAAATCTCAACCAACTACCTCTACCATTCCACCAGCTATCCCAAACTCACATCATTCACAGATCCATCGCATTTTGAACCATCCTCTTCATTCTCTCACTCTCTGTTCATTCTTCAATGACTAGAAGGAATATCCGAAACTCCAACCATTTGTGCAACTATCTACAATTTTCTCTCTATAATCTCAATTCCACCTCGGCACATTTCGTCAACTATCTCAATTCTCACTTCGTTCACATTTCAACTCGTCGTCCTCTTCGTTCTATTCGCTCTTCAATGACCAGAAGAAATATCCAAACCTAACCGAAAAGTTTTTCAACCAACCTCTACCATTCCACCAGCTATCCCAAACTCGCATCATTCACAGATCCATCGCATTTTGATCCATCCTCTTCATTCGCTCACTCTCTGTTCATTCTTCAATGACTAGAAGGAATACCCGAAACTCCAACCATTTGTGCAACTATCTACAATTTTCTCTCTATAATCTCAATTCCACCTCGGCACATTTCGTCAACTATCTCAATTCTCACTTCGTTCACATTTCAACTCGTCGTCCTCTTCGTTCTATTCGCTCTTCAATGACCAGAAGAAACATCCAAACCTAACCGAAAAGTTTTTCAACCAACCTCTACCATTCCACCAGCTATCCCAAACTCGCATCATTCACAGATCCATCGCATTTTGAACCATCCTCTTCATTCGCTCACTCTCTGTTCATTCTTCAATGACTAGAAGGAATACCCGAAACTCCAACCATTTGTGCAACTATCTACAATTTTCTCTCTATAATCTCAATTCCACCTCGGCACATTTCGTCAACTATCTCAATTCTCACTTCGTTCACATTTCAACTTGTCGTCCTCTTCGTTCTATTCGCTCTTCAATGACCAGAAGAAATATCCAAACCTAACCGAAAAGTTTTTCAACCAACCTCTACCATTCCACCAGCTATCCCAAACTCGCATCATTCACGGATTCATCGCATTTTACGTTCGTTCACTCACTCTTTGTTCACTCTTCGACGACCAGAAGCGTTACATTCAAGTGTGCAACTATCCACAAGTATTTCTCTGTGAAACGACACCAGGTGAATCGATCACGATCGATTCCGCGGACCTGTTCTACGTGACAGTCGCGAGGCAGAGGAACACAAGGTGGGAAACTACGTGACGGCGGACTAGCTGTTCCTTTGGTAAAAACTCGTGGCCGAGTGCTCCTCCAAGTCCGTAGACCTGGCTGCTGCTGGTTCGCGCCGTGAAGTCGAGAGAAAGTGTTCGGCCCCTTCCTCAACGTCGCGTTCAAACGGACGGCGACCGATTGCGACATTTAGTGCGCCACCGGGACCCGGTGTACGCGTCGTCGTCGCTAAGGAATCCTCTTCCTCGCACATCGGCGCCGCGTCCTCCGCAAGGTCGTCGTCACGGCTTCGTAGAATCCGTGCTGCTCCACTTCGCCAACGACGTGGCGGCGCTTTCCGCGTAGAAAGTCCCCGTGTCGGTACGTCGAACGTCCAAGGAAATCGAAAGTTTCGCGGCGGCTGGGGTCAGCAGTTACGTCTGCGACGGGCGTGCCGTTTCGAAACTGATCGTGGGCGTCGTTCCAGTGGAAACACGTGGAAACTTCAGCTGCTGTCCAAGCGAGGAGCGACAGTTCCGAGTCGAGCGCGAAGTTCGCAGAGACTGTGAAAAAACTACTGTGGAAGAGCTATCGACGTGATCGATGAAGTTCACTGTGAATCGTCGTGTTTCGAAAGAACGGAGGAATTTCCGAATGAAAGAAATTGTGAAAAATTGTCGAATAATTTATATATATAGCAATTAATATAAAGTTTCTTCGGATTTTACAGAGACAAGGCACTCGAAAATTGTCTAATTTTGTGAAATGACGGGGTCTTCGGCAAGTTTCTTCAGATTTCAGATACTTGGAAGATGAAAGTTATAGAGAAGTCACATAACTTGAGAAAGGGTGAGGAGTATTTTCTAGATTCAGAGAAAGAGAAGTGAAAACGCGTAGTTTTTTTTTTATATTAAAATTTTCAGACCAAACGTCTGCGATGAGATAGCTCAGTGATTGAGAAAGTGCTTGCTTCGGAATTGTTTTTTTTTTTTTTTTTTTTTTTGATATTTTATCTCGTAACAGTACGCAGGAATGGTGTCAGCAGTCACTTAAGTGCGATCACGCAGCAGCTACTCTGTAAGAATATAATCGATTTCTTGCGTGGTAGGGAGGGAATGAGCGCGATTACGTGCAGATCTACTCGAATCGTTGCTCAATGAAAGAGATTTTCCTACGTGCCCCCATTCACGCCGATCCGTATGTATGCCATTGATGTGTATACTTTTACCTCACTGTGTATATATAGTCATTTACGATCGATTTTCTATCTAGAGATCATGTATTTACACATAAATATTTTTTATTTTTAAACTTTAATATATTCAACATATATTAAATTTACAATTAATTTACATACATTTATACTTTCAACTGAATAATTAATTGGAGTTATTAATTTCTAAGTACAAATTTTTATTTTTGCATATTACTACAACCTGGCAACAAGTTCTCGATCGAAAATGCAAAAGTTCGAAAGTATTTAAAAATATTGAAAACTTTCAGGTATAAAATGTTGTAATACTTGTTTGAAATACATGGAAAATTATAATTAGAGAATGGATTTCTTTATACGAAAGAGAAGAAATTGCACAGGAAAGGTACTTTAATTGTGAAGACAGGAGTAGTAATTTCCCAGTATTATTTTAAATTCTTCGAATTAAGTGTGCATATTTATTTAATTTAATTTAATTTAATTTAATTTAATGTCTTTCTTCATGGATACATGAATTCCTCCACGTTTTCGAACTACTTTATAAAAATTGTCTACTGAACTTTAGAGTTCGTAAAATCCTAAAGCTAACAGAATTCTCATCGTCTCTGTTTAGAAAATATTACTAAAAAATAGCGAACATCCGTGTCACAAACGTGTCAAAATCTATCTTGAATTCTTTTGAACACCTTTAAAACCCTGCTTTTTAAAAATATTTTAAAATATTTTTTCAATAGTTTCCTCTCAAACAAATTTCCTTTCCCTGGCTCAATCCAAATTATTAAGAATACTTTGTGTTGCACTAAGAACAAAGTGTTAAGGAGACTCTTGTAGAAAGAGTATAGTGAATATTTAACTATAAGTTATTCGAAAAAGACTCCTCTGTTATCGAGAGTAAAGTTTTGACAATTTACAACAATTTCAATAAATTTCCTTTAAAAATATTTCATTTCATGGTCTCAAAGACTTCTCCAGTGTTATCAACGACGAATCTGGATCTCGTTTCTAGCGGTCGTCGATCGTTCGCGAGACGCGCGGTAGCTGACGTCGCGACGCCTGTTCGAACGAAACAACGAGGGGGATTGTCGTTTTTCGCGGAGGAACTACTCGCGATTTCTTGCGAGTTGGCGCGATAAACGAAACGCCTGCGATCATTTTTGCCAGAGTACCGCGGAATCGTAACTGCTCGACGTCGTTTTTGGCACGATCCTCCTCGCCATCGTTACGAAGGCAGCTCGCTTGGCATCGCGCTTAAGCCGATAAAGGCGCCGGGGATTATTACAATAACTTTTCGCTCGCTGCAGACGCTGTTGTAAATTGTTCGGATTGTTTTCACGCGAAATCACCGTCGTAAGAGTTGCCATCCAGTTTTGGAGGAAGCGGAAGACGTCTTTAAGCGAAGCGGTAGGTAGATATGGAAGGAAATAACTTTACATTCAGTGAGAGAATTTTTGGGGAAAAAAACGTAGCAAGACAATTTATAATTAATTTCCTTTTATCGTCGACTTATCGAAGGTGTGTCACAATGTATTTTGTATTCCGAATCGTCTTCGATTTGACATCGTTCGAAATTTTAAATTTCAAACTGTCCGACAGTGATTGGATTTAAATTTAATTTCAGTGGATTAAGATCTCGTTATTTTTCATAATGAAAACGACATTCGCGTCCAAATTCACGATTATCGGATCGAAGCTCGATCGTTCCTCTTTTTTTCTTCTTGTCCCCCCCCCCGATAAAAATTCCTTCTTCACATCGGAAGTGAAATTCCTCTTTAATAAAGTGCAAACATCAATCAAGCACGACGAAATTAAAACATCGAAATTCGTCAGATTCGAACGAGCTCCGATTCAATGTGCAACGTGTACATCTAATAGATTATAAATTCTCGTTGATAATAAAATCAACCAATCGGAATTAAAGAAAATTCACTTTTGAATTTGGAATCGAATACGGAGTATTCATTTCTTTTTTTCTTCTTTTTGCTATTAGAAATATTAAATTGCTATTAAAAATATTAAAAGTCAATTTTACTCACTTGCTTGCTTGCTTGGGGGAAGTAAAAATAAATTATTACTCGTAAGGTCTGCTCGATCAATTATATTATAGTAGAAAGCGTTACAAATTGTCGTAATCCGCAGCAATCGAATGCTTAGGCGCTGATTTCTCTTAATTTTCGAGGAGAAGCATCGCGGCCGGATTAAACGGGAGACGATAACGAGCAACAGGGGGGAAGGATAAATTGGTGGAGCACAAATTAGGACCGGCTTTTCGGCGGTGCTTGTGCGCGCGAGAAATAATTACAAAGAGCAGGCTTCGCCGAAAGAGCCATTACCTCGGTCTGGCCTTTGTGAACGTTTCACACGTTTCGCTAAATATTGTATATATACCGATGGCAAATAAAGATCTCGACACTCGTTCGAACGGAGGGAGCTCTGGAGAAAGTGGAAAAATTGTTTTGTTATAGCCGGAAAATTAGCAAAGGTGTGTGCTCGAATGAACACTCGTTCTTCGTTAATCACATTTCGTTATCCTTTTGTTTAAATAAGCTACAAATACTTGTGAAAATGAGAAAAACGAAACGTTCAAATACGAAACTGATAAACGAAATAAACTTGTGGAATCCAATAATATGGTAAAGCAACGAAAAAGTAGACTCGTGAAAGAAAAATGGAACACAATTGAAGAATAAGAAACTGAATTTTTGGACAATTCACAAGATAGCTGCAGATTATCTTTTTGGAAATTTATATTTTTACGGAAGCAATATTAAAGAGAAGATTTATATTTCTGTGAAGAAGAAAAAAAAAAATAGGGATTTCGGATGATTTATTTAGACAACTATGGAATGTATATGGAAATGTAAGTTTTTTTTTTTTAAAGTAAAATGTAAATAGAGGTTTGTTTTATCTTCGTGTATTTCATTTCCAAATATTACAATTGGTGCGATACTTTTTTGTAAATGCCTGAACATTTTTATAACACAGGAAATTATTGTTACATAAACGTTATTAATAAATATTAAATATTGACATAAAGTTATCTTACAAGAAATTTGACATGAAAGGAATGTTACAGTTTGAAATCTGCCTCGAATGAAGAAATGGGAATTGAGTACAGAAAAATAGAAACGTTCGAGATGTGAAATAAAAACACAAATAATGATTGATGTTTAATACATCGAAAGAACGTTCACTCTCGACACTGTGTGATTGTGATAGAAAATTTCGTTTCATAAATCTTACGTTAAAACAACGTAGGAGTCAAATATCGTTCGTCGACAAGAAATAAATAATTACTATATTTTTCCTCCTAAACGTACGAGATTTCTCAGGCGAATTGAATACTATTCGATTCACTTGAACAATTTAAAGTAAGTCTAAAGCAATCTTACATCGATTAAACGCTATTGTCTAATCCAATGACTGTTCACTGGACTCGAGTACATTCCTTAAGTACACTTAATCTAGACACAAGTTTCTTAATCATCTTCAATGCAATCTCGAAACATCATTATCCAGCTCGTCACATTCCCCTCGTTCACGATCTTCTTTCTTTTCACGATGATGAATTCTTTCGTTTCAACTCTTAAAAAAGTCGAATCTTCGTCGTAGCAACGTTACAAAGAAGAAGAAGAAGAAGAAGAAGAAGAAAAATGTCGTCTGCGAGATATCACAGATTACGTCGTCGCATATTTTCATTGTTTGTCCGCTTGGCACTGCGGTGTCAGCGTAAGCGAATCTTCTTCATCATGTTGAGAACGCTGGAGCCGGGCAGCGGGCAGGTGGGGTAGAAATTATGACATCCCTGACCTTCCACGCCGGATATCAGTTGACCCATATGCGCCGCAAAGTGGTACCTCGAGCGCACTTCCGCCATCGTGTTCAAACTCGTGTCCCTGAAAATATTTACATCGTTTGTTTTCGTCTTTCTTTTACCAAAAACCGATGCAACTATCGAAATGTTGCCAACAATTGTGAAACGATGAAACGTTTACGAAGCAAAGATTAATAAAGCAAACGTTTTTGTTCAAAGATTAATTTGAATTCTCGCAAATTATAGTTCCAGTGATTGGTGAGATTTAGAAAACTGTGGTAACATTTGGAGCATTTTGAAAAAAAAAAGAACAATCGTGACGTTAAGATTATTGGTTCAAAATGATACGATAGATCTTTGTTTAAAATCTTAGGAAAGCCGGAACTTTAATTTTTCGCAAACTTGTTAATATAAAATAATGAAAAATATAAAAATATAAAATAATATAAAATATATTAATATAAAAATGTGAAAAATATAAAATAATAAATTAAATTTATAATTAAAATTATTAATATTATAATATAATAAAATATATTAATATAAAATAATAAATTAATATAAAAATGTAAAAAATATAAAAGAATAAATTAATAATAAAATTATTAACATAATAATATATTAAAATATATTAATATAAAAATGTAAAACATAAAAGAATAAATTAAAAATAAAATTATTAATATTATAATATATCAATAATAAAAATATAATATTACTAATATTAGTAAAATAGCTAACATTAATAAACTTGTACGTTTCAAGTTAGTTTCCTCGTCACATAAAATTCCTTGACTCAATGTTAATTTTAAAACGATAACTCAACGTTAATAACTATCCTGTGACTTTTCAATGAACTGTACATGAATTGTAATTCAAATGGTATTCCGATCTGGAAAAAGAAAATTGAAACCAGCGAGTCCAACGCCAAACGAGCCTTATCTAATTTATTTTATAATTTTGGAAAATGTGCAATTAAGTGCCATTTAAGGGCAACGTTCGAAGTCTAGGAAAATCCAAACAGTTTTCCATCTCGTGAAAGCGAGGAAATCCGCGGGAATCGACACGGTGATCGAGTGTCACGTTTGCGAACACGTTTCGCAAGAAAACACATTTTATCGCGGGAACTCGTTTCGAAACACGACCGAGAGAATAATCGACGGTTGTGCGACTTGCCAATAGTGGTGCGCACGAAATCGACTCAACTTTCGCAACGTTCGACCATGATCAACTAGTTCCTCGGGAACGAGGCACGTAAGAACAGGCACAAGGCGAGTCGCCTTTTACTTTCGATATCGACGGCTCTCGGCACCGACACGCGTACCGGAATCCAGTTACGCTCGGCGAAACCAACGCTGAAAACTGCACGAAGCAGCCATTTCCCTGCCACCGTGCCGTGGCACGCAGCAACTCCGAGAAAACGCGGGAAAACTCGTAACTTGCGGTCGATGCTCTGCTATTTGCGCGCGGCCCGCCAACGATTCCAGCTCTTTCCGCTCGTGTAAATTTCACTATTTCACTTCAATTAAATTTTATTTCAAACGTGCCACTCTCGTTACTCTCTGACAGCTCGAAAGTTATAGGTATCGTTTGACACTAATTATTCAAATTACAGTGGCAGTCCTTCCTTCCCGTGAAATCTCGCTTTCCTTTCCGACGTTGTTTTTTTTTTTTTTTTTACAGAAACATATGTTCTCTCGAGACTTTGGCTACGCGGCTGCGCGTTCAAAGAGAATTGATTTTGACATTAAATTCAGTGAACTTTGCGTTTCATTCAGAATCTATAATGAGCTTGTAAAAGAGAAAAAAGTATGCTCCCATAACCTCTGATCATTGTTGGCGAGAATTTTTATTATAAATACATCCGGTTCAGTGAATATTTTAATAATTAAAATACGGTACGTTTTAATAATTAAAATTGATGTCAGGAAATGACTTGAATAAGTAGTATAAGTGTAATAAGTAGTTTGAACGCTTGTCGTTCGTTTAATGTGATAGAATTATCCTCACGATTACGAGCACTTATGAACGCATCCATAAGTATCAGCAACTGTTCGAATACGTTCACAAAAGAATGTTCAGACGCTCCCGTGACCCGATATAGTTCACGAGTGAACCATCCGCCGCAATTGACTGAAAATCAGACAATCGTAGTCGCGAAGGAAACAAAAATCGATGACTCTCCTCCCAGCGGATTTATCAAAGAACTATACTAGCCTGATTGAGAACAGGACATGCCAGAATAAAGAATGCAACGAATGCAACGAATGCCAAAAATCTCTCACGGCAATCCAACTCACATCTCACATGAACGTACAAATTTTCTCTTCGAGCTTCGAGAGAAAAATCATCATCGCCCTGACTTCCCAAAATCACCCGAAGAGAACAGTCTAATTTCCAATAAACATAAATCTATACCACGCTATGAATAATAACCTCGATGACGAACCCACACAAAAAAATCGTCCGCCATATCTCGCCGAATATTCTCGACGAAAGTAAACGAGGCTGGCGTCCGATTTTCCGGGAAGACGGAAGAAGAGAACGCGCGATAAGAAGCAGTTCCGTCACGCATGGTTCCCGCATGGAAGACGTCTCGCGGCCGCAAAAGGAAAACTCTCGCCGATTTACGAGGCGGCAGCCACGGGGGCGAACATAACGAGCAGAACACAAAACGGCTTCTTTAGCTTTTCCATCTTGATCGGTTTAACCGGCGAGGAGGAAAATGGGGAGGCGATCCAATAAAAATCGGCCTCGCCATGGGAAAGCGGCGTTTACGCACGCATAAAAGTAAATATAAAGCGCGGATCCTTCCGGGACGTTAACCATCACGATCCATCGCGACATCATTCCTCGTTGTTCGTTTAACTATCTATTCTATCTTCGTGTCTCTTCTTCCTTTCTTTTTTTCTTTTTCTCTTTATTTGCTCTTCCTGTGTGTTTTAATTTGACGCTTCGTTGGAGAGCGAGTGGAAAATTTTGGGAGAATCAGGATATTGATGGTGATGAATTACCGAATGGTAATTTGAGGATTACTGTAGTTTGACGATCTTGATCTTTTGGTCATCTTAATCGGACTTTAACTGTTCACTTCTGGCGACAGCGGCGATTAATCGAGAAGAGTGACAGATAATTATTTAGAGGCGTGACAGATAATTCGGAATACTTCTTCATTTGGAAATAGTCAGAATACTGGAGTATATCATGGATTCGACTTTAAGGACAAATCGAAGAACGAGGTGGTATGATGAAAATTTTGATTGATATTTTAATGCATTTAATTATAAATGTTTATTAAGTTTTGATTCAGTAATTGGTAGAGTCAGTAGAAAAATATATAACTCGTCACAGAGAGTTGATAAACGAATCATTTTTTACTGTATTATATTATGATAAAGGTCTGTAGAATTTTCAATAATCTTTTAACATGGAAGGACCAGAACCATTTAGAAATAGATCCAAATTCTTCTTACTCTCGTTTATTTATATAATTAAATTGCGCAAACAATTAAATGAGATTTCTGAAATACTTATGCGTCAATGTTTTGTTAACATCAATAAAGTAAATTTGGTCAATTCCGTGCTGAAAGTGCTGCTCTCTAAAAAGAGAAGGAGGGAGAGAGCAACTAATTACTTTAACAAAAAAGAAACAGACGCATCGCGAAAGATTCGAAGCTTAAATTGCTCTCAATTAAGCTGCACACAGTCGAAACGAAATCTAAATTAATTTCCAAGTGGAGAAGCGAAGAGCTACGTGTAATTTTACGTGTAAGCATCGTAGCCACCGCGAATTAATCCTTTAAAGCCGAGCCACCATTTCATTTTTCTCCTTCCCATCCCGAAAAATCGAAGAACGAGAGATAAAAGTGTAGCAAAGCTGGAGATACTTCTACGCTAATTACGAAACGATATCATCCATTCTCTATCGAGTATCTTCCTCGTAGAATCAGAGGATGTAGAAAAAGAAAGGTACACAATTTTCGATTACTGAAAGTAAGAAAACGAAGGAAGAAAGATATTTCTGCCCCAATTACGAAACGACATGATCCATTCTAGCGATTATCTCCGCTTGTGGTGGATGTGAAAAAAAATTCGAGAAAACGAGGCAGGGAATTTTCAACTCCTAGAAACAAGAAAAAGCATTTCTACTCAGATCGATTCTATCGATCATTTCCGCTTGCAGAATCAGAGGATGTGAAGAGAGAAATTCGCGGGAAAGAGGTGCGCAATTTCCAACCTCTAAAAACGAAATACTACCAAAGATACACAAGAATGAAATAAAAAGAAAATTCTTAAATAATGTGTTCTACGATCGGTTCTATCGATTACTTTCATTAGTAGCGAGAGGAAGGTAAAAAAAAGAAAATATATATATATATATTTCGCCGTAAGAGGTACTCAGTTTCCAAACTCTAATGACAACAACAAAGTAAAGAAACATAAAATTAAACATTTTCTACGGGAATTAAGAAACGAATGTCACCTTGCAGAATAACGCGCAAGAAAACAGAGCAAGAGTTCACTCGGATTCTGAACCTTTGGGAAGCAAGAATGAGACGTGAGGAAACGCTTCGATAAATTAAAAGTTGAAAAAGTTCACGGAGAAGTATCTTCACGCTAGCGTTCGACTACTATTTTCACCGGTAGGGCGCCAGAGAAATGTGAAAAAGAGATCCAAGGACAAGAGGTGCTCAATTGAAAGGTGCTTCAGGTGTGCTAGAAAGTCGGAGAGATTGAATAACCCGTGAAAAGGAAAGTGGCGGACGGTTTGTAGCGAGATAGCATCCGTCGGCCCGTACGAGCACACGGTCGTTCCCTTTTCGAAACAGCTTACATAAGAGTAAAAGAACTTTCACGTTGTACTTCTCTTGCTCGTCGAGAGAAGAAGAAGTCGGCTCGTCGACTCTTTAACGACCGGAAATGGTAGTCTCGCAGGTAAACGCGAGATTTCCGTACACAAGGCTGTGTTCCTTCGCTGCGCTTTCCTTCGCTGCGAATACCTAAACACGCCTAAAAAACTCTCGACGTTAATGAATATTTGCACTATCGCGTTTTTCCTTTCAACGGTTTTTCTTGAAAATCCTCCCTCGGCAAATGTGAAAAAACTTCGAATGAGAGAAAGAGGGACAGAGAAACACCCGGGAAATCCCCGTGTCGCCGGTGACATCGAATTGCGAAATGAAATTCCAGCGCTTTTCAGCTCCAATTCTCCAACTCATTAAACTCCAATAAAACTCCGAATTAATTTAATCAAAAATCCAGATTCGCCGCACAAAGGTACACGGAGGCACGCACAGGGAAATTAAATATTTCTCTCTTTCGGTTTCGAATACCACGGGCCACCACTGTCGCGAAACAAAAAAAAAAAAAAAAAAAAAAAATTCCTGCCTCCTCGCAGCTCGCTGGCTCATAAAATTCCCACGTCCTTGTTTAAATCAACGTCTGCCTGCCTCGAAATACCCTTCTCTCTGAAAAAAAGGAGAGAGAAAAAAGAAAGAAAGAAAGAAAGGATCACGTCAGAGCAGCTAGATTCGAAGCGGATAGAATCAACGCGAGAGCATCGTCCCGATCGATATTTGGCCGGTTTAACATAATTTTCCTTTTAATCAGCGAGCGAAATGGCCATCGAATGGTCGCCGGCTCGGCTCGCATTATCCAAATAACGCGCCGCCGCGTGTCCCGCCTTTTCCGATCGTAAACGAAAATTGCGAGGATCCAATGCCAAGCGTCATCCAATTTCCACGCTTGCAAAATCGCCGGCGCGTCGCGACGATCCGTAACTTTTGCGGCCGCAACGTCGAACGTTCGCTCGTTCGCCGGCGAGAAAATTGCGAAACGCGTCGATCCGCTTAGTAGAGATGAGGCCAAGTCCAATACGTACACTCAACCGCGAATCCGAGTCAACTTTGATATCTCGGTTTCGTTTCATTTCGTTTCGTCGGTATTGAGCTTTCAAATAAAAATCTTTCAACTGCGTTTCAATTCTAGTCTAGCGTACTGTACAATTATATTTTTGTATATTTATGTTATATTTGTATGTATATTTGTATTATATTATATTGTAGTATATTGTGTATATTTTTATTCAATTTTAACGTATATACATTATTTTTTTGATCCGAACATTTGCGAGAACGCGCAGATATCTGTCATTCATAAGTAATGTTTCCTTCAAATTTAACGAAACATCGCCATCCAGTGATAGTAATTTAATTTGTTAACACAGAACATTCTAGTTAAATATAGTGACGTTTAGTGTACTCATTGTTAAATTATATTACAGATTGAAACTGTATTAAACTCTTAAGTGAAATAAAATTTTCTACAGTATCAAAAAACGACATTATTTCTGGGTACCTCTAATATAATATAACGTTACAACGTTTCGAAAATGTGCTCATCAGTTCAATGTTTGTCGGTTCAAAATAGTCGCTCGACTCTTGTAAGTTAAAATTTAAAAAGAAGATTAAATATCGCATGGTATATAATTATTCACGAAAATATTCGACTCTTATTGAATACGTCATGTAAAATACTTTGAAATTTAACCAACACTCTGAGAATGTTACAATCAGATTAGAATCAAGTTTGAAACATCGTATAGCCGGGCAGTAGCGTTGTACGCTTATTCTTTATTAAATATTATACACGTCTTACGTAACCTGAACCTCGTTTTATCTGGCACTTTGTTTTCACACGTTTCTTTTTTACGCATTTTATTCATAGCTATATACGTTTCGTTCACAGTTACGCGACGAAACGATGCAATTGAAATACAATTAAAAACAACTGACTGACGAAGACATTTCATTCCGTACGAGTTCAATATTATCACTTCATTGCGAATGATCCTGAATGTTGAACGATCCGCACGATTTCAAAGTAATTTGAGAAATTACTCACGACTTGCTGCGAAGAACTACGAAGAAAATGGAAAGGAATGCTACGAAGGGAAAAAATGAAAGTCATCGCTGGAGAGAACGCGCTCCGACGACGATGTTGTTTCAGTAAAAAAAGAATTCGTTACGCTATAGTATAAAATTCAAATTTCTTAAAGAGAAAAAACGTTTTAATCTCATTTATCTGTTTCGACTTTTCTTCAGTTCGTTTCACCGGATTTTTACCGGTGTCATCACGGTGAATCTCGAATGATTCGGAAACTACTTACGCGAGACACTCGATCCCATCTCTACCGCTTAGCCCGGCTATCCAATTTTCGATGACGCGCGAAATTCTCGACTCGAGCAACGCGATATCGGGCGCCTGACTTGTTCCACCGCATCTGTTTAGCGAGATATCGAACTGACATTTGTTTGGCCTGTACGCGGTCGGCTTGTTGTTTCGCGAGCCAGGATCAAGCTTCGACCACGGCCGCGTACACGTGTCTGATCGATATTCCGAACGATCGAAGTGAACATCCGGCGCGTACGCTGCTCCATCAGTGTAATCTGGAGATTGCAAGGTAATCCGACGAGCTGACGTTTAATTCTCCGGCCAGTGGCAAAGTCGGAAGCTGTGTATTGTTGTTTATAAACGTTGCGCTCTATTTACGTATAAAGCACGATTGAATTAATAAAGATTCTCTTTTGTTCTTTTTTTTTCTTTTCTTTTTCTTTTTGGAAACATCACGCGAGTATGTAGGTTACCCTATCGTTGAATCAGCAGTCTGTTATCTGATATATGTAATAAGTAGGCTGTGCAACTTTATGGTCCTTTTTCTCGGATACAATTGAGAAAAATTGTAGTTTCATCCGCAACTGAATGTTACAGTAAATTAAATTAAAAAATATGATACATTCTCTGTATTGCAAGTGTCTGACAAATCTTTTCAATATGCACGAAACATTCACACTTGAACGTTGATGTCGATGGTTTTACATAATATGTGTGTGTGTTTCTTTTCTTTCGCAATTCAGCGTCGTTATTCAAACGAGATATTTAATTTATGCATGAAATCGTGCAGTAACAAGAAAGGCTGTAGTAGCAATAAATTTTATGGAGGAGCCACAAGCTTCTAAAACATATTCGAGAAGAAGTGAAAAGTAAAAAATAATCGCAGTTCGGGAAAGCTGTGAAAAATATGAAAGTGACATTTCGTGTGCTCAAACAGTTACTGCCGAGAGTTCCTCTGGAATATTGTAGGAAATAAAATGTGCAATTTCAGAAAATACTGAATCGTTTTACGAGCGCATTTAAAAGTCTGATTTCGAACAAACGGATGGTCGAAAATTTCTCGGATTTAATTTCCTCGCGAGAATCTACTCGATATCAACTAACAACCTGCAATGAAAACAAAAATCATTTCTCATACAATAGAATGCAATTATTCTAAAAAAAAAAAAAAAAAAAAAAAAAAAAAAAAAAAAAAAAAACAAAAAAAAAAAAAAAAAAACCGAGAATTATAATACAATCGATCGACATCGAGACGCCGACAGCTCGTAAAAAAGGAAAAGAAGAATCCAATTCAGTGACGAATCACGAAAATACAAAATTTTACGACGTGACATCGGCCGTTCCTATTATGGCTGCTGACCTTTCCTTTCAACAATCTCATGATCCAGCGAATTCGATTGCGCCGAGGCCAACCAACGGCGATCAAAAGTGGAAAGTGAAAGTGGCGAACTGGAACCGGCGTGAATAACGAAAAGTGGGCGAGCCTTGCGAGGCGCCTTGCCAGTCGTTGTAAAAATTCCACCGTGAAACTGCTCGATCATGCCATCCGCAGGTTTCGAACGTCAACTTAACTTCGTCGAACGGTTCTGAGTAACGTGCAATTGCCGTTTCATTGTCATGCTCTGTTTCGCCTCCTTCGTATCGTCGTCCTCGATCGAGGATTCGAACGAGGATCAAAAAATGCGCCTCTCTCGGAGACGTTTAATCATTGACAAACGATCGCGCGGGTGACACTCTCCTCTTGTTGTAAATGGAAGTTGCTCGGTTGTTTCTCGGCGCGCGAATGATCCTGTGGGTAGGTGTTCTAGCCTGGTAGGTAATTTATAACGGCAGGAATATTAGAAAATTTCAAACGACAGGGAATTTATCATTTCCTGTATAGGCGCGCGACAGTGCACTTTTGAGGATAGTAAAATGTATGGATAATATATGAAAGTGTAGAGAACGTATGGATGACGTCCATTTTATAATGATACGATATCCTTCTGATTTCTTTCTGACTCTATAATATGACTTTATAATATATTTTATTATTAATTATAATATATAATATAATATTAATATAATATAATGTATTTTAATATTAATTGTAATATAATTAATATTAAATAATTATAATATTATTATATTAATTAATATATTTTATTATTAATTATAATAAATATATTTTAAATTAATTATTAATCATAATATAATTAATATTAAAATATATTAATATATAATATGATTAATATTAAAAAATTGTAATATTATTATATTAATTAATATATAATATAATTAATATTAAAATATATTAATTGATATATTTTATTATTAATTATAATAAATATATTTTAAATTAATCATTAATCCTTGTTCAATTTCTGTGAAATTTTCAACTGTAATTTTATTATTGGTCTCTGTGTCGCAAGGATAATTCGCTACCGCCGGTTTTCGTAATGTGACATAACCATGTAACCCGTTCGTCAGGCATCAATTTGAGAATCATTGAAATTGTTAAATAACTCAGTCATCACGTTCACTCCATGGCCTTGAACTTATCAAGTAAAGAGGCAGGCAAGCAAATGAATGCAACTCATCGCTTACCTGATTAAGTTCAGCAAGGTTCGTTCCATCTCACTCAGCTGGTCCTGATGGACGGACGAGGTCAGTTCGCATATAAGCTTGGGCAAGCAAGCCGTCTTGATTGTCGCCATCATCTTTGCACGTCGTGAGATCGCTGCAAAGTAATCCATATACGTGCGTAAGAAGTGCGTCAAGTCTCTGGAAATATCCTGTCATTAACGGACTAACGAATAATTATTATACTTCTGAATTAGCCTCCAGCATGTAGTGTATTTTAAACCTCTCGATTTGTCACAAGCGTTCTTTTTTTTGTTTTTTTTTTGTTTTTCTTCATTCCTCGTTACGTTAGAAACGTAATCTAAAGTGCAAAATCATTCCACGTTGTATCATATTTTATCATCGAATTGTTTCGTATTTTTGCTTTTCAATTTATTTACTTTGATTTTAGAGTTGGAATTAAATCAATCGGTCGTTTTTGCTTAATTAAAGGAATACTGCTGCCCGTAACAAACAAGGACTAAATGCTAATTTCGCTGCAGAGAGATAAGCAAAACATCTGCAATCGAATGCAAGAAGATGGAACAATGTCGTTCAGCACAACGAATTTTCTAGTTGCACGAGTGAATTTCTCTGCTCGTAATTAAATATCAGCTGTTGATTTGTTAAGGTGAGAAATATTAGTTAGATGGAACAGGTGGACCGTAAAATTTTTGAATAATTATCACGACTCTGATTGTTGATTCTTATTCAGAGATGACGTGAAAATTGATACGATTTGATAACGCAAAGTGTATTTTGTAAATTTGCAAATAACAATGCAAACGATTAATTTTTACACGATAATTTGTACATTATACAGTGACATAGAAAAAAAAAAAAAATTGTATCTGCTTTTAGCAGATAATGTGACAAATGTTTGGAATCTGAGAAATAGAGAATTCTCTCGTTAACGCGTTGTATTTCCTTTCAGTTTGCTTGACATTTTAATTATTAAGTATTATTAATATAAAAATAATAAATAAATATTATTATTATTAATATTTAATATTTTACACATTATTCCGTATGCTTTTTAAGAACAAAATTTTCTCATTCTATGACTATTCTAAATTATTCTTGAATCTATTCTTGAATCACATAAAATTGATATTAATATAATCGATATTCTGTTTCTATTATATACATGTACACGTGGAATGTTAGTTTTCATCTAAAAAGAAGCACTTACGTCTATCTACATATCTGTTTATTCATGATGATAATGAATTTAAGTATCCTAATTATAATATTAATTTTAGAATTACGAACAAGCAATTTGTACAATTTACGTCAGAGAAAAAAAATAGGAAAACGGTTTTCATACAAGCTTGTATTTAAATAGTTGAACGATTATTCAAATGCAATTATTCGAAGAATGCGTCAATAAAGTTTAAAAAAAAGAAAATTGGTTGCTGATTGGTGCTTCTAATATTAAATAACATTAAAAATTAAGAAGTATGTTAAGACCTTCGAGTATATTCTCGTGTTTGTGTCTTATATCGTAAAATTTCGTGTAAGCACGCGGAAATCTGCAGTTTGCTCGTGAGATTGTTACATCATGCAAGGTACGTAACGATAACAATCGTAGAAATTGCGCGTTCGCATTAACATTTCTAAGAAAAACAATATACAAAATACCCAAAAAAAAAACACTCTTTTCAACAATCTCGAATTATTAAAATAAGAGGTTAAAAGACACGAATCTCCATAAAAATCCACAATCTAATATAATTACCAGGCTACTCAGGTTTTGAAAAATATTTCACATACTAAATGTAAAACGTAGTACAAGCGCTGTATTTTCAATATTTGTGTGTAACGTTCTGTGCAATATTTCGTTACAAAATTTACGCAGGAAAAATGCTCAGTCGAATAATTATTGTACATCGAGAACGACTTCCGCGTCTAGAGTCGAGATCTCTTATTTCTTGGTGGTTGCACAAAAATAAATTTGCTCCTTACCATTCTCTTTCTCGTTGTCCTTCTTCACCGTTGCCAAGGCTATCCCGTTCGCAGGAGCCACTGCCGGCTTGCTGCCGGCATCGTCCAGGTTTTTATCCGGTTCGGTGATATTTTCCCGGGAGGATCGGCCGAAAATCGTGTTGGTCAGGTAGCTGTAGTCGCCGGTGAACATGAGGAACATCCCGAGGAGAATCACGAGACGCACGGTGCTGATGTACATGACCATGCTGGCCCGCGTCCTTGGCGTGTAGAGCAACGTGAAACGCCGCCTCCGCACCGATCGGCGATCCTCCATTCACTGCCGGCCTCCACCGATTCAGATCCACTTCAGGATTGCAAGAACGCGCCGCGCAACTGGATCTGCCCGTTCGAATCTTAGTCCTTGCTCCGGTACACCTGCGTGCAACAGTCGCTCGATTAAAACGGAAACGCCGTGGAACGTCGACTCGATTAAATGCAGCGGCCGGTATTTCTTTCCCAATGTTATTGCGAATGTTAATCCGCTTATGAATGTTAATGTCCGCTTCTGGGACACGAGTCGGAAAATTACAGGCGACTGTAGGAAGTATTGGCGCGTCGTCGTGTTTGATTAAGGAGTTTAAGTGTAGATATTAAATCGATATTATAATATTAAGGTAGTGGTTTCGTGCGACTGTAAGAATTTGCTGCTCTGAGAGTATGTGTAATTATTTATTAATATTTTTTTATAATATTTATTAATTATAATCATTTATAATATTTTATAATAATATAATATAATTAATATTTATTATGTTAATAATAATTATATTATAATATTATTTATAATATTTTATTTATTATATTAATAATAATTATATTGTAATATTTATAATAATATAATATAATTAATATTTATTAAATGTAATCATTTATAATATTTTTTATAATATTTATTAATTGCGCTTTTTTTCTTACAACTACAACTAGTAGCTTATAATTTATATATATTAATTATAAATCACATGTGTCGGATAATTATAAAAATTATTGAGAGCAACTAGGTTGAGAGAACTGTTCTAACAATTTTAAAACCGTGACAAGTAATTATCGTTAATTAGAATTTCTGTTCATTGCGCCATTTCAAGAAAATTTTTCCGACTGTGTAAAGTTGAATAGTTCAATGATTTTTGGTCTAGACTAACATTAAGTGCACAACAAAGTGTTATGTAATTTCAGAATTTTCTACGATTTTCACTTGATAAATTTTGAAACTTTCAGATAGAAACGATTAAAACATTTCGCATTTAATATTTTTATATTAAATAATTAATGTTCAACATTTTTAAATATATATTAATATTTAATGTTTACGCTGTTTATTTAGGATACTCACTATATCTCGCTATATCTCGTAGCCGGTATTCTCAAAAACTGACTCTTTTCTTTTTCAAACTCTTAAATATTAGTCCTTTCTCTTTTCTCTCTCTCTCTCTCTCTCTCTCTCTCTCACTCATTCACTCTTTCTCTGTCTCATGCTTTTTGTAATTAGCTGTAGACACTCCAGATCATTAGCTTTCTCCCAGCTATTCCTCATTTATCTGACCATTATTTCTCGGTAGCGCACATGTAGTAATGTTTACAAATTTGATCCTTGCCTCTGCACAATAGATTCTGAATTCACTACAGACGAATGCTTGATTATTATCTAATTAAGTTTCTTGATTATTCTCCTCGGATTCTCGAAAATTACTACATGCGAAGTTTGTTTGTGACCTACATGCTAAAAGTACTCTTCGCCACGTTCGGCCAAACGAAATTTCGAAGAGCTGTTTACAACTACGATGATGCGATTATATCGCTTCGTCATCGAAGGTAATGGCCCTAAGTGACCAATTTAACAGGCATCTAAGGGTCCATTGGCCTTTCCGATCGATTGTAAAAATCCCTCGGCGCTCGACAAGAATGCAATTAACGCAATCGCGAACTTAACTTGTTGTCAGTGTCTTGGACACTTCTTGAACTCCGGCACGAATATTCGCAATAGACACACTTTCTTTCGACGAATCCTTAGACTTACGTGCGTAATTAACGTTGCAGCAACTCGAATCATCTTTTAACAGAAGGAAACACGACAAGGCCGCCGTGAGAATCGAGAAAGAGCAACGCAATAGTCGCAGCAGTAGCTTAACTCGACTTTCGACAGCGTGTATATTAACCTCTTGCGCTGGAATGGCGTGCCATGCACGTCGAGAATTTTTTGCCCCAAAATTGCAATATTTTCTCGACATTTTAAGTATATTTAAGTACAACCCAGGCAAAACAAATAATAAATTTATTACTTCTCGATAATTTAAATATCATACCGACGAGTTCAAAAGAAAAAGAAAGCGACGAATTATCGTATACGGTCACTCGTTATGGTCCGCAATCACTTGCCAGCGCAAGTGGTTAACCACGCACGTCGAGAACTTTTTGTCCCTGAAATTGCAATATTTTCTCAGTTTTAAGTATATTTAAGTAAAAGAAAATAGGCAAAACAAATAATAAATATATCACTTCTCAATAATTTTTATCCAGTGATGTCATACCGACGAAATTAAAAAAATGAAAAAACGCGACGAATTATTGTATACGGTTCGGTCACTCGTTATGGTCCGCAATCAGTTGCCAGCGCTTAAGTGGTTATTACGTATTGAAACAAAATACGTACCCGTGTGCAGCATCGACGAACACACGAAGCTCGGGATCGGCCAGGGATCGTCGACTTTCAACGACGCGGAGAATGTTACAACAGAACTTTCGCTCTCCGTTCACTTCCACTTTCTTCGTGCGGTGCGTGTCGCAATCCCGACGCAATCTCCCAGCAACGAAACACTCGAGAATGAATACCGGACGGCACAGTGAAATTCGTCAGGTACGTATTCCCCTTCAATCGGACAATTTCCTCTGTTTCCTCGAGTTTTCTGTAAAAAGACGAATAGGTAGCTCGCGAAACGCACAGGTCTGTTGAAATCACTGACACGAGCACACGGCAACAGCGGCACAGCAATCGCCGGCGAAGATTTCGAAATTTTAAGTCGGTATCACTCGAAATCGACTGGCAATAGAATTCGGCTGACGATGCGACGAAAAATCGAAAAATCGATCCGCCTGGCGAAGAGAACGCGCCTCGACGCTGCCGCGATCTACCAACGTCGCGGAATGACTGTGAATGATTCGAAACCACGGCGGCGAACCTAACAAGTTGTCAGTGAAAGTTGGACACTCGGCCGCAACTTGCAGCGATCGGATCGGTCGATCCCGCTCGCGCCGTGGTGGCTTGTTTGTTTACCACATTGTTTGGCACGGACGCGGTTAGTGAAAATTATTTTACATTCTCTTTTTCGTATCAATTTATCAATCTCAATTTGGCTATCTCAAATCTACGTGATCGGATGCTCGTTTGAACTTGATTGTTACGGTTAGATTGAAAAGTGAAATTTCCATTACGTTCGTTGATTTCTACGATAATTTCTAAGATGCTGGATAAGTAGCACGTGGAACTTCTTTTTTGCTCATTGCAGAGTAATAATTCCCATTTGCTTAATTAGATGTGAATATTTGTTCCGTTAAATAGAACAAAACACGTGTTGTATTTTTATCGACATTACCATTATTAAATCTCACTTTTTATTATTTCTATATATTATTTATTAATCTATATATATTCTAATATATTTAATTTCTATATATATTCTATATATATTTAATTAATAAATAATTTATTAATAATTTATAATTAATAATTAAGTAATAAATAATATATTTATTATTTCTATATATATTTTATTAATCTATATATATTCTAATATATTTAATTTCTATATATATTCTATATATATTTAATTAATAAATAATTTATTAATGATTTATAATTAATAATTAATTAATAAATAATATATTTATTATTTCTATATATATTTTATTAATCTCTATAAATATTTGTACAAGGAAATCTCTACGTACAATAATGAATAGAAAAAACTATTCTTATATAATAACAAGATCTCATTCTCTACCTTTTTCTGTTAAAATTTCCATCTCGTTCTTGATAACTTCTACGTACAAAAATAAACAGGAAGAAGTTACTTTTGAATTTCGGCGACTCTAAAATTCCCCAGTTGAAGTTTTCAAAACCTCCGTGCAACAAAGAATAGAAATTACTTTTTTTAAAATAATTTTAATAATTCTTTCACGCCAAATAAACGAACGCTCGTTTCAGTGAAACGTATGCCTGTATTCATGAGACGTTGTTTAATATTCATTAAACGAGCGTTAGCGTGATAAACGAGCACGAATGTTTTTTTTTTTTTTCACTCGGAACGAGTGAGCTTCTTTTTACTATTTCAAATAAATGTATCCCCATAGTTTCGCTGTATAAATATATATATATATCCTGTATACGCAGGACAAAGAAAGTTTTTCCACGAGCAACCAGTTTCCTCAAGGACAGTGATATGAGCACGTTCGGATCAGACCAGTCAGAGCGCAGCCATCTTCCAGATCCGATATAAATACGTTTGCCTCGCTTTCGTGAATTCTCTTAGGTCCGGTTAATCGGGTGCAATTACTCGTTCACCTTGAACCATCTCCCATCCCTACGCAACGTGCATCGAAACGAGGTTCTATTTTTAATTTCGCTTTCCCACTGTGTATGTATGTGTGTCACTGTGTTGACACAGTTGCGAAAAAAATCACTGTATACCGCGAAAAACATTGAATAATCTATTATTTATTTACCGTGATTACGTAATACGGACGTTACGTCTCTTCGATAATAGCCTTCGACGATCATGATTATGCAAATTACGCTCAACATATGAATATTTAATATAACATTCATATGCGTGCAATATACGTATATATCGACAGTGAATGACTCGACGTTAAATACGTTGCTTCTTTGATCTCTGGATCAAGCGAAAGATTGACGCCGTTTGTTTCGTACGTTTGAACGAAGATTACGATATTTGAATTAACAGTTTCACATTTTCATAACTCGTATACTTTTAGAAATGTTGTTACATATTCTACACGAAAGATCACGATAATCGATTTACAGTGATTCTCGTGATTGTATCAGATCTTTCCGAAATTTCGTGTATGTTTAAAAGAACTTGGACGATTGAAATATCGTTGTCCTTGTACGAAATTTTTAATTATTCTCGAGGAAGGAAATCACGATGATGTCAAAGTCGAAGTTCCCCGTCCTGAAAACTTTCCACTCTGCGATCGAAGAGACACGTCTTATCTATAAATTCCTGTGGGACGCATTCTCGTGGAAGAAGACGCAAACTTCTCGCCATGTCTGTATTCTCACGTTTGGTCAATGTGATCTGCAACCACGTGGCCACTGAATATCGATTACTTTGCTGCACCGTGTTCGACGAAATCTATACGATTTGATAATCTTTCACTGATAGAAACTATAAATTTTAAAAATTTTACACTACGATGATATTTTTTTTTTTTAGTGATTAATAAAATTTCTTAACTTTGTCGTATAAATATAAAATTTATCACTCTTGGTGTAGTTTTTAATTCAGGACTACGTTGATTTTGTATTCGTACTGTTCTATTTTCGAACGACCGAATGGAATTTTTAAATTAAACTGATTTACACAAACTTATCTACCATTTAATTTATCGCCACGATAATACATTCACTGTGTGTTTAAGATTTCTCCTGGGTAAAAATTGTAATGAGGCCCAACAGCGATTTAGTGAAGGGTGTCACGTTCTTCAGAGATTCCTCGTGCAACTTTTTCACGTTGACGCGCGTGGAAGTTGCACCGTTTGAGAATTTTCCATGCCGTTTTCTTCTCCGTTTTCTACTGCCACGTCGACCATCCCCGGCACTCCATAGAAATTTATCCGAGCCTGAGATCACCGAGAAACATAAAAGCCACGTTCAACGCGATTAGATCCTCGAAAGTCTTGTTCAAACGAGCCACATGAGTAGCTACGTATCTTCCATCGTATAAACATATAATTCAGATTTATTGTAATTTAGAAGATATCTGAGAAAGCAACCGACGATGTTATGAAAGTAATGATGACATTATGTTACTGCTCGATATATCAGTTATTAGCCTTGCTAACAGGGAGAAGAGAAAGTATATTGATGGTACACTTCAATATACACTCTCTTCTTTTCTTTTTGTAGAAAACAGTGCATAACTTGGGCAAACTAGAGAGATTTAAGACAAACGATCCAATTTGACGACAAATTGGTACCGACGATCTACCCGTGGTGGAAAATAAAACTACGTGGAAGAACTATAATCCATATTTCATCTCTAGATAGAAAATAAATTCGAAATAAAACGTTATATTTTTCTTTCTAATCGAAACTACGTTTATCCATGAAATTGTTGCAAGATATGTTTTCAAGAAACTTTGAGGGAATCCTTGAAAATGAAACTAAATCTCACGTTCAGCCAGCGCAGTGCTGCTATTTATGACGCGAGAGGGAGGGATTGCGATCTAGAGAGTTATTTCAAGAGAATGTAAAAGAGCTCTCTTGATCTATTTGAAACGTACTCTTTCTTAACAGAAAGAACCGTTTTATTTTAAGAGAATGTAAATCAAAGGGGAGAAAGGTCCGGGAATAGGAGAAATCAAGCTTACGATAATAAATGGCGGATTCGGAGGAAGCTTCCACGGAGGCGTAGTTACTTGAGTCCGATTTTTGGGGATGCAGGTGCAGCTGTAGCCGCGGGAGGTGGACGACGTTGGCCAGGAGGTCGAGAGACAAAGATCCCATATTTCCTGGGTGGAGGTTCCGGTGGCAGGGGCGGTGGAAATGACGGCTCGAGTATCTTCAAACGCAACGTTCGTGTATAAAAAAAAAAAAAAACGTGTTTCTATTCTTTGGTATTTTCACCTACGGTTTAACTTAAACATCCGTAAAGAATAATCTAATTTAAATAGAAAGGACAAAGAATAATTGTATCAGATTGCTCGAGAAATAACGTTTCTGATCATTTGAATATTAAATACACTTTTAAGTCTAACTGGAATGGAAGTCAATTATTCACCAAACATATTGATTAAACATTGTTTCTAATTTCTATTAAATAACGTGTCTTTGATTATGTCACCTGTTGCTCAAGGAACACGCGTTGATTTAGGAATGAATAACTGTTTTGACAATCATATTTCAGATTTTAGAAGCAAATACAATGAAATATCCAGCAACTGTTAATGAAATGCTTGTTTTTTAACAGTGTTCTTACTGCTAAATTAACTAACAACTCGAAAGATTAACACGCAACAGGTAAAGATATAAAATAAATAATCGAAGAGGAAATAAAATAAAATTGTTGTTACTAAACAGCGTTCCTGCTGTTAAATTAACAAACATGCAAAAAGCAAACGCAACATACGAAAAATACGCAAAGGCCACAATATCTATCTAAATTCCATCTAAGAGATCTCTATCCAAATTCCACTCCTTCTCTAATCATATTCCTAAATCTACGCAGATTTACGTACGTCAATACGCACAGTACTGATCAAAATCAATCAAGCCATTATCCGAACGATACGTCGATAATCAGTCTTGGGTAATCAGTCGAACGAACTGAAATAATCTTAACAATAATACGGCGATAATCGGATTAAACGACGTCAGCATTAACCCGTTCCGCGGGTAACGAAAGGCCTCGGCCGTTCCGTTGAATGCGTCTTAACTAACCGAGAGTCCCATGGTTTTCCCCCAATTTCGTTCGCCAGACACCGAAATAACTTTACACGTCGCGTCCCGGTGGTCGCGAGTTCTCTAACAGAATTCCCGAACAATCTGTTCGTTCTCCCGCCCCTCCTCGCCCTCCGCCAAGCTGTTACAACGAGTGACGGCAAACCGGCAGTAAGAGGTAAACCGCCCTTCTCCGTCTCGATTTTCCTGACAATTACAGAGGAGCACCGTCACGTACAGGGTAAAATCGGTGCGTCGCGCGAGCGCGTGTAGTTTAATTGAAACCCACCTTGAGATTCTCGGGCGAGGTTCTCGCCTGTCCTTCGCCAAGACACGGCGGCCACGCGTGTTCGTTTTCTCGGTCAGCGACGTCGGCCGCAGAACTCTCGCACGATTTCTCGCCGGACATGTACTGAAAATCAACTACGAATTAACGAATTAACCGGGAAATAACCGCGATCGACGTTCGATCTTTAGTATCTCGCTGGTAGAAGAGATAGTTCCCGATACTTTCTTCACCACTCTCTCCAGTTCCGACAGCTTGCCCTCGGCGTTGATCAGCTCCGTGCTCAGGCGTCTCATCTGGAATCGTCGCGATCTCATTTTGGGAAATTTTTTCGGCGAAATTTATCTCCGTTAATTTTAAATTAATATAGTTGGATATAAAGTTTTGCAATGAAAATGTATTTTAGTAACAATTACGCATTAATAGTATTATTGACAGTTTAGAGTAATGAGAATGAATTTTTTAAAAGTAAATAAGTAAAATTTGTTTTGTATCTTTCGTATCAGGGTTAATTAATTTATTTTAATAATTTTAATTATCTCGAAAGTAAATGATATATATATATATATTATATTTTGTAAAATAAAAAAAATATATATTTAGAAATTAAATGTTTGTCGTATTTATTAATATCTACTTTTTTTTAAATAAATTTAATTTATATAGGAGCTCTTTTTTATTTTCTTTTTTTGTAGATCATAAAGCATCAAAATTATATTTCCAAATAAAATAATAAAAAAATAATAAAATATATAATATATAAATATATAAATAAAATAATAGAAAAATATATAATATATAAAATATATAAAATATATAATATATAAAATATATAATATATAAAATATATAATATATAAATATATAAATAAAATAATTAAAAAAATAATAAAGTATATAATATATAAATATATAAATGTTTATATAAATATAAAATTGTAATAAAATAATAAAATAAAAAATTTTAAAAAACGTGCGTTTGTAAAAATTATTTCTGTTTCACAGAACTATACAGAATTATAAATAAAACAGATGAAATGTACAAAATCTTTAGCCACGTTAACGGAACATAATGAATTCCAAGTTACTTCGTCCTCCAGTTCCTGCGACGTTAATTTCTGAGCTTCTTGCTGAAAGAGATTGATATATATATATATATATTCATTGTCTATCGTCTCCTCTGAACGAGTTTGAAGTTTCCTTCGGACACTAACCACTTTAACCACGACCTCGTCGTATTCCCCTTTCTTATCCTTCAACGCCACCACGTCCTCCAGTCTCTGCAAGAAATCGTTTAAACGAGAAATCGATACGATTGAATTTCTATTAGTATCCGTCAATCGACGCACCGTTCGGTTCTCCTCCATGATCTTCAGCATCTCCTTGTTCGCCTTCTCCATTCTTCTTATCACCTATTGAAAAAAATAAAATGAAGCAGCTGCAGCACAAACTTTGTCGTTCTTGTAAAATTCACTTAATCACTCTTAAAAATATTCTAGAGACATGGACAAAATTTGTTTTCCAAAACAATTGTTTTTCGTCATTCACTATTTACAGTCATTTTTATATTATTTTATATATCGCTATTTATATTCACCGTTTTCATTATTTTAAACAGTCGTAACTGGCCACTCAGTTGAAATTATCGATTGACTGTCATGAGCTTTTGCAAAAGGTTAGTTTGTGTTTATAAATTTGATGAAATGGAACTTGAATTTTTCAAATTTATGTTTCATGGAAGAGGAACAAATAATATTAATTCTCAAGCAGAATTATTGTATTATGTTTCAATGATTAATAACTAGCAATAACTAGGAAATTTTGTTCTATCTTATATCCGAATTCTCTGAATTATTGAAAATAGCGATGAAACTCAATAAAATTGAAAATATTGCATCGTCATAGCCTCCAGTGTCCAATATCATTTGAAATTAAAATACAATCCAGCTCAGCATACGAGTCACGCTGATTTCACGATTTTGCAAACAACTTGAGTGGAGGGCAATTCTATTACTTCCCGAAATAGAAATTCGCGAAAAAATATTTCTGAGCGAAATGTTCATCCAATTGTACTCACCGTAGTGGCGTACCATAGTGCTACGTAAAAGAATACGTGCATCAAAACGCAAACGTAGACGTTGTCCAACACGTACGCCCGTACGAACGACTATAACAAAAATGGAAAAATTGGATATCAGTGGAAATCGTGCGAGTTTGTCTCGTGATTTGCTCTTTACCTGACGATCGTATACATCAACGAGCTTCAGAATCGGATAGGACTTCGCCAATTGGGAGAAGTAGCTCTGCTTTTGCAAGAACATCCTCGCCAATGCAATCCATTAGTCGAGGTTGCAAAAGGGTTTCGCAAAATCCCGCGCGAAAGATGGAAAGTATCGTCGACAGAGAGGCGCACGACGCGAGACACGTCACTTCGATAAACGAGGCAGGAAAATCTGTCAGATGTTACATCACGGACATTTTGAATCGATGCATCGATGACAATTGAATAATCGACTGTCGAGAAATCGATGCATGTATTATCATTGATTAAAGATAGAATAGACATGAAACACGTAACTTTGTGTTTCTCAGAAATTCTCACTGAAATACCGATGAGAGGAGAAAAAAAATCATTGGTTTCTTTTAACTCATTCTAAGCAGTAGGTAAATTGGAGAACTATCGAGTAAAATGATACAAGCTCAGACGAGGAGTGTACAAGAAATTTTAAACTTTAAATTTGTTACAAATAGCTAAATAATTATCGTTGTTTAGAAATGTTGAAAATAATTCAATAGTTTTAAATGAGTTATTGAAATTACTGAATAATATATGAAACAATGAAACGAAAATATAATTAAGTTACTGATTCAATTGTTACAAATAAATAGTTAAGATTATTAATTAATATATAAAAATGTTATATTATATTATTAATATATAAAATATAATAGAAATGCAAACGTAGCAAAAAATGTTTGTTGCTTCCTTGGATTAATAAATGGGAGCTATAAAACAACAAAACTCTAAGAAATGAGTGTACAAGAAATTTTAAATTTTAATTATTACAAATGGCTAAATAATTATCGTTGTTTAGAAATGTTGAAAATAATTTAATAGTTATAAATGAGTTATTGAAATTACGGAATAATGTATGAAACTATAAAACGAAAATATAATTAAGTTACTGATTCAATTGTTACAAATAAATAGTTAAGATTATTAATTAATATATAAAAATGTTATATTATATTATTAAATAAAATATCATAGAAATGCAAAAAATATTTGTTGCTTCCTTGGATTAATGAATGGGAGCTATAAAACAACAAAAAATGATAAAATTAATAATTACTGTAACAGAAATATTATTTAAAAATTCACTTCTAAAATTTGGTCGATATGTACATATATGCGAAGTATGCAACTCAATTGTTTGAAGTTTAGAAAGCGAACATTAAGAAAATAAACAGTACTTTACATTTTATATTATTAAATATTTTATATTCTTCTATATCCTATCATTTTCACTCGTAAAATTTGACTCGTAACACACCAATTCCAAAATAATTCCGTAGCAACAAATATTTGGAAGATAAAGAATACTGCACAGTATTTTATATTGTCTGAAAACAGTTTTATATTCTCATACGCATCGAAGCACTGCGTATTCTCTGTTTTACTAAAATAACCTTAACCCGACATCATTTATTGAAGAAACAGAATTACGCTCTGCCTAAATCCCTTTATTAGTTCGACGAAAATAGCGCGCAGAGTGTTGCAATATTAATAGCTATTAATTCCCACGAGCGCTGTATATTATTCCATCATGATGTTCATTCGAAAGCACAGAATAATGCGATCAACGCGAGGCGTAACCTATAATAGCTCCAATAGCACGAACCGATAGTGAGTCACGCTATTTTTTCTTTTTTTTTTTATAACTTTTCTCCACCTGTATCAGAAATTCAATTAGTTCGAACTACAAAGAACGTGCAGAGCAATTACAATCGTTGATACAAGAACGTAACGTTAAAGTCCGAGAGAAAACTCCATCGGAACGTGTACACGCTCGAGGAAATGCATTGAATAATTGAAACAGCAATTGCGTACGCAATGAACGTCACAACTGACTAAATTTCAATTAAGATATCGTTATTATCGATGGCTCAAAAAGAAGCTAACAACACGTTTATCGGGCGGTGTCATTAATTAACCATGGGCATAATTCATCCGCTGTATTGGATAGAGAAACCATGATTCGCGGATAATCGTGTTATTGAGTTCCTGTCTCGATGATTGACTTAATTTCGCAAATAATTTAACATGGTCATTGTATAAAAAAATTTCATTGCGCCTATCAGAACATAGACGAGCAACACGTTCAAATAATTCAAACAGAAGTGACAAATACAATAAGCTTAACGTTATATAACTTCCTCGTTTCATTACGCGTATATTACTAACAGTATATTAAAAACTATGAATAAAAAATGAGTATCTCGAACTGTCTACGGCGATTGCGTAATACGTACTCTTGGTAAATAATTGTTTTCATGATGAAAAATTAATATTGCACGTGATATTACAATTTATTTTACTTCGAAGCGGTGAACATTAATTTTAAGCCACAGAGTGATTCTGTGTAACAACGCTTCACGAAATATCGTCGAAGATCTTAGAAGACTTTTGTTTCTGACGGATATTTCGAAACTTATGATTTATAAAGTGACAGATCTATTCTCTGTTTTCTTTTTCATTAAATATCGTTGTATGAATGTATTTCGTCTGCGTTTTCAATAAATGAAATCTCTTTTTATAACTATTGACTTCATTGATTTCCAACGAGAAACTTATATGATAAATTCATAAAACACGTAAATACGTAATGTAAAATGAAATAATTAGTTTCGATGAACTTTTAAACGAATATTAAAAACTTTACATTTCCTTTCGAAATATTTATCTATTGTTTAATCAAAATACACTTTGCTTGAATGCTAATACCATTCTTTCAAAAATTTGTAATCTTTGCTGGCTCATTGGTAGAAAAAAATTTTAGATGTTGAAGAATGGTGTTGCGAAATTTCATTTTTTTTTTTTTTTTTCACTCGTTCGATTTTTAACAAAAGTTTCTTTACATCGTAGGCAAGTCAAGTAAGCGGTCAAGTAAGAAATTGCTTTTCGAAAACGCTTCGAGTTCAATTTATGATGATTTTGGATTTTTCATTTCCATTTAGCTGAGAGGAACAAAATTTTTGCCCAACAATGTTTCCCACGTTGTGGAAACACGTATGCTTCGTTCAGGTTGCAGGTGACGTTCGTAGCGTTATTGCAAAGTTTATGTTCATACAGGGAAATTACACGAAAATCAGAATTCATTCTCGCGCAAAATTCCAAATAAATTAAATATCCGAAATGGATTAAAAATCCGATGTGCATCGCATGCATCGAACTAACATTTCGTTTCATGTTCAATTTGGAACCGATTTAATTACGAGCTTGACTTTTTTGACGGATAAATTCCTTTCCCATTGATTCCCCATTTGATGAAATTACAATGAACATTCCGTTCGATAGAGCTTCCAATAATTTATCAAATTGATAGAGCAAAGTGTAGAGTTTTCATAATTCACAATTGCTTTCTTACAAATAAATAAATTCTTTCGATAATTCCTTTTCCTTTGACAAAAATTTCCATCAATTTGTTTTCAATTCTTTATTAAATTGACATAATGAAGTGTATAGTGCTTTTATTGCTGTATAGTGCTCATTAGAGTGGTTGACGTCGGTTTGAATTAGTTTACGTTTGTTTTAGCTTATGTTGCAAGCCACGAGATGTCACGATTGTTCTTAGAATGGGAAATTTTTGGCAATTTTTTAAGAAACATTATTAGAGTCGTTAATTAATTATTCCTAAAGTGTAATTTCTCTGCGTGTATTTCTATTGAATTCATTTTAAAAACTAGCTCAATGTTCGAGAAAATTAATCATTTCGCCAGAAAATTTCACCATTTAAAGTCACTTTCGAAATAAACTCGCAAACTGTCAAAGTAAAATCGTGTTTTAGAACGAAACCAAGTGAACCCTAGTACATTTACATCAATCGAAATTATCGATTTTCAATTTTCAATCGTCATCGGATACAGTTACGCACTTTCGCTGTACGCGCGAAACACGTGAAGAGGTTAAGCGTTTCGCAAGAAATGTGCTCTACACACGCGCTAGTGAAGGGTTAAAGTTTCGTCGCGTAATTTCTCGTTGTCGTTCGTTAAGCGACTCGATTGAACTCGGCTCGGAATGAGACGAGACGCGTCCAACGACTTTATCGCGCTCGCCGCTCGTAAAGTAATTCCCCGATGATTTACGGCGATGCTAATTGGTACGTTCGGCTTTGGCACAAAGTTTCAACTACATTTCGTCGGCCATCGCAGTTTTCACGAGGTCCGATCGCGAAATCGCCATCTCGGAAATTATCGTCGAATTCAACTCGCGTTTCCCCAGCGAGCGCGCAAATTTTCCACCATTTGTTCGGAAGAGCCGCCGAAACACGGTAATTTTAATGCGTCAGCAACGAGAATTTATTCGAACGGTCTGCTTAATATCAGCGATTTTATATAATGTATCGCGAGGGGGAGGAGAGAGAGAGAGAGAGAGAGAGAGGTGCAAGAAGAACCGAAACGCATTTCGGAGGAAACTCACGGTAGTTGAGTGTAATACCGATAATGAAGAGCGGGAGAGCGGTGAATGAAAATTGCGAGCACGGTTTATTGATTTACTACAACGAGCGCGAGCTTGCGTTTTAATTGGCTTAATGTTTGTTTAATGTGGAGCACGACATCGGCCCCCTGTCTGGCTGGTAATGGGAAACACCGTCGTGGAAACGGTTAAGCGAAAACAATCGAGGATGTTTGCTACGAGGCTAATTAATATCAACAACGACGCGAAGTGAAGAAACGAAGGTGGATAATTAGCGAAATTAAATCTCCCATAGGGAAACGTTCGCGCGTTTTCAGCCTTTTCAGCCGAGGCAGTTGCGGATTCGCCCTGCGGACTGGTACTCTCGATTCAAACGCGGCATTGGTATTTCAAAACAATGGGGCACCGGTTTTCAACGCTTTTCCGCGGATAATTCGCGAATATTTCCAAACTCAGAGGCCAGAGTTGTAATTGTTGCACGGATATTCGTATATACACGCGACACAATTTTCGAGCAAATTTCTTTTGTTTCGAAACCGTGAATTTCCACGAGTGCTAAAGAAAACCATTTCCCGCGTTAAGAACATTTAACTTTGTTTCACGAGCCACTGTTTCAATTTCATTTCTCCTAAATATTTCTCCAGTCGTGGAAGTGAAAGATAAAAATGCGCAGATTTTATCAATTTTTTTTTCTCCTGTTTTCTTCATTATTCTCGTCTTTCTCTTTCTTTTTTTCTTTTTTTTTTTTTTTTTTTTTTTTTTTTNTTTTTTTTTTTTTTTTTCTTTTTTTTTTTTTTTTTTTTTTTTTTTTTTTTTTTTTTTTTTTTTTACTGGTGTTCCGGTATTTTTGTTCGAGCGAATGGCGGAT